CTAAGATTTACAAACACTTGGGTGTTTTTATTTTCTCCGCTCAGCCGGAAATCATTCTAAGATTTACAAACACTTGGGTGTTTTTATTTTCTCCGCTCAGCCGGAAATCATTCTAAGATTTACAAACACTTGGGTGTTTTTATTTTCTTCGCTCAGCCCGATTTCCATTTTAAGATTTACAAACACTTGGGTGTTTTTGCTTTCTCCACGCAGCCGGATTTCGACGCAGAGTACGAGCAGCATGAGAAGGAGCCGATCTCGCTGTCTCAGCAGGCGCGATACTGCCTGCAGAGGAAGCTATGCTGCACCAGGGGGCGCCTGCAGCAGTTCCTCTTTGGGTTCTTTCCGTTCATCACTGTGCTGCGTACGTATGACGTGCGGCAGTACCTACTTGGCGACATCATCGCTGGCATGGTGGTTGGCGTTATGAACATACCACAGGTAATCAACATCAATGGGGCCAAAACAAAATATAGGTGTGGTTACGGTTTCCCGACCGACCCTAAACATTTTAATTTAAAAAATAAAAATATGAATTGGACAGTTCCTGCTTCAAAAGGCACAACGCACATCCTTCATACATGGTTCGTAAATAAAATATTTCCCTACCTACCTACCCTATTTTTTTTCCGGCATGTAACGGTAACCACACATATATTTTGTTTTGGCCTGGGCATAGAGAAGAAAGCTAGTGGGTACAGCGGGCGATTGTTTGGTGGCATTTAAAATATCCTGCATGGTAATTTAGGCAGTTTATCTTTTCTTTATCGGCCAGTTCCGGGCCGACCGGTCGTTCAGGTAGAACTTTTCGTATGAAATGCTCCATTTAGAGCCACATTGTGTGGCAGGTGTAACTAGTGTAATTACTGTAGGGCCATAAACAGTGTGATTGTGCATTTGTATGAGTTTATCCTCTGCCTTTACGTGAAATTAAGTGTGTTCTCTTGAACATTAGCGTGTTAGCCAGTAGGGCAGTTTTCAGAATGAACATATGTCTTCTTCTGTGTAATATTAACCCTTCCATTTTGCAGGGCATGGGCTATGCAATGTTGGCAAACATGCCTCCAGTCTGTGGTCTGTACGTTTCGTTTTTCGCACCACTCACCTACTTCATTTTCGGCACGTCGCGACACATATCAGTGGGTGAGTGTTTCCGGCGGTGCATTGTTACGAACACAATGCCGTCTTTATAACTTCAGTTGATGAGATGATGTTTTGTCCTTGAGTTTCCAATGTAAGATTGCCACTAAGGTTAACAAACAAGAGAACTGTGTCATCATCTGTCTTGCTCATGGAAATGCAAACCTCAGTGCTGTTATAGCTATGTTACCTGTCATAACCTGTTGTGACTGTGTTGTGATCTGACTTCTACCTTTGATATTTTCCGATCCTAGGCACGTTTGCTGTGGTCAGCTTAATGGTAGCTGATGCAGTTCACCGGTTCGCACCCTCTAGTGACTTTGGAGAGGGAAGTTATGACCCCTATAATTCCACCAATATCAGCACCATAGCATCCATAGATAGTGGTGAAGTGAGAGGTATATATACATTCATAAATATGCATGGAAACTGTTGCATGTCTGTCTGTCTGCGAGTCTGTCTGTCCGTCCGTCCGTCTGTTGATCTGTCTGTCTGTCCGCCGTATATATATATATATAAATAAATAGCTATAATAGGTAGCTGAAGAGATATATATATATATATATCAAGAGCATATAAAGAAGGAGAGCGTACAATGGTAAAATGCTGAAACCATGTTGCAGTATTAGTCGAATTAATAAACTTTCCTTGTGTTATTTTGACGATTCTTTGCAGTATTATTGATCAGCTGTCCTACCTTGTTCATATAAAACAAACCGCATGTCCCTACGATGCCCATACGCTGAGATAATGAGCGGTGAAAATCTGGTATTTTCGCTGAACACCGACTAGACAGTCAGTACTGCGACCCACTCTCGAAGTGTGGCCAGTGTGTTGCTTCCGGTCGCCTCTGTGTAGCGCCATAGTGGCGCTGACTCACGTCATACTACCAGAGTTTACTATACATCCAGTGTGAGGTGGGCACAGGTGGGGGTCATCACTATGGCAATCAATAACAGGCGTCATTCATTCCATTTATAAGTTATAACACTTCGAGAGACAATTACAGTAACTGACTGATCTCGAGTCAGTTTTTGGCGAAAATACCAGATTTTCACCGCTCATTATCTCAGCGTATGGGCATCGTAG